CTTTATCACAAGTTGACTATACAAAGCCCAGTTATCTTATTCAACCAACCAAAGCCCAGATTAGACCATTGTTGAGATTAATTATCTGATTAACCCTTTCGAAAGATGCGATTTTTATATCAAAAGGGAGACATTATTAGGGCACAATTTTCTAAATTTTTTGATCAAAATCTGAGGAAAACATAAGGTAAATTTAACCAGTTTTGGGTACAACGTTACTTGAACTAGAAATGATGTTCAAGTGAATTATAAGCCCAAGGGATCAAATGACGTTCCTAAACTCTAATAAACAAAGGAAATGCCCCCAACTTATTCAGACATAAGAGGTTTATAGTAGTGTAAATTCTTTCGCATACTTTTTTGGCTATACAAAAATCCAGTGGAGAGCCTCTATTCTGAATCTCCTTCTGGATCACGCTGTTTTGATTCTTGAGAATTAGACATCATTTGAGAGGCAAAAAGCTTTGAGATGCCATGTATAGCTGCTTGGATCTCGTCGGAATCCCTTGGGCTTCTCCAAACTGAAGATTGCGAGCTCATACCAGAGTACTCGCTTGCTGCAGCCTGAGTCTTCTTTGAGGTAACAAGAACCTTCTCCAAGTCCAACTGTGTCAATGGCCTAGGCGCCTAAAAAATGCAGGCAATTCGAAAACATTAGTACGAGGAAGGAAGCATTGAGCCTAGAGTTGGTTATTTACTTACAGAAATATGTCTGCCCTTTTTCTCCTCCTCTAGGATCTCTCTGATTGGGAAGTAAGCTGCTTTTTTGCAGAGTTCAAAGATATCTGATCCGGTATAGTCTCCACATAAGCGAGCCACACGGTCATAGTCAATATCTGGTTCGACCCTCTCTCCTTTCAAAATCACTTTCAGTATCTGAGCTCTCTCCTTGCGATCAGGCATTCCGATCTCAAAGGCCTGAGGAAAACGCCTCAATATTGCTTCATCGAGCTCCGAAGGTCTGTTAGTTGCAGCAAGAACCATCACCCTTGCATTCTCTATAAAACAAACATCATATTTGTAGATTGCACTTATTTTAGATGGTTTAAAGGGAAATTAATGACAATAATTTCAACTCACGGTCTGTAGTAAATCCATCCCATAAAGCCATAAACTCAGTCTTCATATTTCCCATTGCTTCATTATCTGTCGAACGGCGCTGGCCAAGAAAGCTGTCCACCTCATCGATAAAAATAATCGCAGGTTGGAGTTTATACGCCAAGCTAAATACAGCAGCCACTAAAGAAACAAGAACAACTCATATATTAGTAACACCACCAATATACCTCACACAAAAAAACAAAAAAGCAACAAACGAGGTAATGTGAAGCTAATTCTCCACATAAAATCTACACCTACCAAGCTTCTGGGCATCACCAAACCATTTGCTCATCAGATTCGAAACCTTGACATTGATGAAAACAGCTTCAGATTCTTTCGCAATAGCCTTAGCAAGCATTGTCTTCCCAGTTCCAGGAGGACCATACAACAAAACACCCTTTTGAGGACCAAGCAACTTCCCGTAAGCAAAAAGCTCAGGTCTCTTGAGTGGTAGAATCACAAGCTCATACAAAGACTCCTTGATTGCCTCCAAGCCTCCAATAGAACCAAACTCCACATCAATGTCTCGTGGGTTTATAACATCACAAGCTATTACATCCTGTTCTCACATAAACAAAACAAAGTATATACGAACAAATGAGCAACATTCCCTCCACATTCCTTGCACAATACATGAAACGTTCTTCAAATAACTAAATCATCAAAAAAAGGCCATTTCTAGATCCCCAAGAAACTCTTCAAAAAAAAAACGAATTTTGAATCATTCAAAAACTATTGTACAGAGTCAAAATTACCTCGTATTGATTGGTCTGGATAAGAGGACGACCCAAACGCTTGGCGATTTCTCTCTTATGCTTGAGCGCCTTTTTAGCCGCGTCACGATTCGGGTCGAGTTGACGAAGACCCACATACAGTACCAAGCTACTCAATGCAGCGCTTGCGACGTACAGTATCAATTGCTCTAAGATAGTTGCATCCTTCTTTCCCGAAGATCTCCTCATATCTTTTACTCCGAACACGAACAAGATTTCTTCGCTCAAAGAGGATTTGGGAATCAGAGAAGAAAGAAACCCTAATTCTTTGGGTCGAGGATAGGCAAAGAAAGAAGAAAGCTTTTCTCCCCTGAAATTACAGGAACAGCTCTCGGTGGCACATTCGTAATATCGTTAATAAATTATCAAATTGGCCCATTGGGCCTTGTGTGCTATGTCACTAATGTGTCTAAAAGTTTTAAAGCAGACGAAAGCCCAATCAATATATTAGACATTTCTTTGGTTCATCTCCGTACACTCGTCTCATGTCATTAATGACATATTTAAGAGAATCGACCTTACCATTCTAAGAGCATACTTATGCCAAAATATTAATAAAAAGTTGAAAAAAGAAGAGAGAAAATAAGAAACCCAAGAGATTCATATCACACTTGTTTCCACTTAGTTGGTTCAATTTTGTTTTTAAACATTAATTTTAATAACATGATTAAATTCTATTAGAGATGACTATATTCAAATAGTAAGAAATTGTTAAGAGTATCTCAAAGAGATATTAACAATAGAGATGCTCTCAGTGCATCAAATATTATTAATCCGAAATTAAACCAAAACCTAAATAAATACTATATATTAAGAAAAATAATCCTCATTGAAGATTAACTTTACAAAATATAAAATTTTTTAATTTGAGAATTTTTGAGAAATGCCACTGCCACTTTTCAAAAATATCATTTTTCCAAAATTTTTGCAAACATGCCACTTTTTCAAAATTATTTACTTAAGATATATCATTTATGTTTGGGTTAACTATGTTGTAGTATGGTTTCATTTTGAGGGTTTAGGATTTGTTATGGATCAAAACTTTTTTTAGGGTTTAAAATTTTAAGATTTAGGGTTTAAAAATTCTTAATTAGTGGCATTTTTTTTTCAATGGATAACCCATAATGACATTTTTAAAAATAAAACCACCAAAAGTCGCATTTTTGCAACTGTACATTTTTATTTATCGTTTTAAAAAATCTTTTTGGGAGATAAACTTTGGAAAATTATACTCTATATTAGTCTTTCATTCTCTATATATTAATTGAGGAGACCCTAAAGAAAAAATCCTAGGTGTCAATCAAAAAGCAATTCAAGGAACATATCATTTAATTTAACCAATCAAAATATTTCAACTAAATATATAGGGGAAATTGCAAAAATACCACATTTGGTGTGTACATTTGCAAGAATGCCATTTAGGGGTGTCTATTTGCAAAAAAAAAAC